CGCGCGAAACCTTAGGCTCCCCAGCGGAGCGTGGCGGCGGGCGGACGGGCAGGCGCGGAACTCTGGAGCCCACGGCTCGGCTTTGTTTTCCTTGCCTTCTCGGTGGCGACGCTCAGGGATCGTCTGATCGGCGCCGGACACCGCGATCGGAAGGGAAGGGGAGGACGTGAGTTTGCGAGGTGGCTCTGGGAGTTAAAGAGTCTACGGGGTGGAAGCAGCCGCGCGCCGGCTATTGCCGAGCGCGCGCCCCTAGGTGTGGAGCTTGCAAGGGTGTGGAGCAGCTAGGTGTGGAGCTCTGATGGCCCCCATTTAGAAGTGGACACATTCCGGCAAGGTTGCTCCCGAGAGAAATGGTTTCGTGTTTGGGGTGGCGCGCTGGGGGTTGGCAGCAGGAGGGACCTTGCTGCCGAGGGCGCTCGACCCGGGCGGAGCTGCGCTCGGAGTTACAAACTCTATTGTGACGCACTTACTACGACTGACGGCCGCTGCCAAACCTTCTCCAGACTTGCTGCCCTCAGCATTTTCGGCAAACAATGGGGCCGGAGCAGGGAAGGCGGCCAGCCGCCTGCAATCTCTGCATCTGCACCCGCTCCTGTGCTCCAGCGCAGCGTCTGAGCCCGGGAAATGAGAGCCCGCTGGGACTTTTCAGACTTGGTACAAGTTTGTCCTGAACGAAAAGCACGAAATGTAGTAGACTTCCCACGAGCTGCTCCTCAGGCAACTTCAGTACTTGTGTATGTGCGAGAGAGCGCGCCAGCCTCACAAGCTGTGGAGTGGATACTTTGTTTTGTTTGGTGGTCTAATTTAGTTTCACCCGGCACTAAAATAAACACCTTCATTATTTTGAGTGCACTTTTAATCTTAACTCGGAAGATAGTCAGAAAAGTAAACATAAAGATGTGAGGTTGACTCTAGAATTTGCAAGGAATAGGTGAAATGATTTTATAACTTAGTTTGTTGAAGATAATCTTTTTCCCCCGCTTTTCTTGCAGAAAAAAAGACCAAATGGCCAAGCAACCTTCTGATGTAAGTTCTGAGTGTGACAGAGAAGGTGGACAATTGCAGCCTGCTGAGAGGCCTCCCCAGCTCAGGCCTGGGGCCCCTACCTCCCTACAGACAGAACCGCAAGGTAATCCCGACGGCGAAGGGGACCGCTGCCCCCACGGCAGCCCTCAGGGCCCGCTGGCCCCAACGGCCAGCCCTGGCCCTTTTGCTACCAGATCCCCACTTTTCATCTTTGTGAGAAGATCTTCTCTGCTGTCCCGGTCCTCCAGTGGGTATTTCTCTTTTGACACAGACAGGAGTCCGGCACCCATGAGTTGTGACAAGTCAACACAAACCCCAAGTCCTCCTTGCCAGGCCTTCAACCATTATCTCAGTGCAATGGGTAAGCCATACCCGGGTAAGAAAAGAGGCAGTTGGTGTGTGCTTGTTTGAATATTGGTTCAAGGATGTGGGTAGCATTGAAGCCTCGGTCGAGTGACTTATTCTATACTTTGATGGAAACAGAAGATGTTTGGGGATTACCGACAATTTTTTTAATTCGCAAATTTTGTGGCATGAATTTATGGTGGTACAAACATCAGCCTATTGAGTTGCAAAGTTTGAATCTCTGCAGCCTTCAAGCTGAAGCTTATAACCATGGTATGATTACTTTTAAATGCTAAGCTTAGATATTAATATCACTGGATTGGAAAGGGACCTGGTCAGATATATAGAATAGTTTAATAACCACCGGCAGTGTAAAGGAAGAGATGGACACGTTGATCATTTCTGAAGACAGCGTCTGCAGAGATTGTGTGCCCACAACCAGCATAGAGCCCTGTAGATGGTTTTATGCCAAAATTCTCCCTAAAGCTCCTTCTTGCTTTAAGGGGTTGAATTTAGTATGGATGGGATTAGATTGTAGATTTTTATTTCGAGGGCTAAAGTCAGTGTTAGAATGTTACATTCTTATTTTTGAGATTTCATTCATGCCTACGGTTTCATTTGATCAAACGCATCCCCTCCCCCTAACAACTCCCAGATCTGTGTGTGTGAGAATCTTAACCAATAGTGGCAGGAAATATCCATGGCGATGCCCAGTAAAGCTGTTGAGGTAGGGTCAGTGGCGTTTTGGAGAGTTTGCCCCATCAGCACAGAGGTTGCCCCCCACTGTGGCTGTGGGGACATGAGGTCTTAGAGTGCATCTTAACCAGGCCTGCGGGTTCTGAAGTCAAATGTCCCAACATTTAAACATTGACAACTACACTAGCTCCTTTAGTGAGTGTTAAAAGCCAGATTGAGACGTCTGTAGACTTGATTTGACTTCTTAGACCAAGCTTGTGACTTGGGATATGCATATTTCTAGTTCACCCCTGGAAAGGGATGGCTCTGCACGTTGCATCTCCACCAAAAACAAAAGTCTGTATCTTGGTCATTCTCATCCAGAACCATGTTTGGTATGTGTCTGGCTAGCCCATCTTGCAGCAGACATCAGGAACGTATTCATGGTGTCCGTTAGCACATTTGGTATCTGAGCCATATGTTAGCTGCACATTGCCTGAGTTCTGGGGACTGTTAAGCCCTCTTAACTGAAAGGAACTGGAAGTCCGGTGTCCGTTATTACTTTAGCTATTCCTTGCAGTAGTGTTTCTGAGCAAGCACTTGCCACTGTTCCACCATAAAGCAGCCTAGGATATGTATACGTCTACAGCATGTGCTGAGTTAACAGGGCTCCCTGGTATATGTGCATAAAAAGCTGCCTTTTAAGGACCCTCTGGAAGCTATTAGGGTTTTACACTGCTGGCCAGGCTAATGGTCTCTGCAGGTGGTGGGATAATCTGGGGGAATATTTTCTCCTTCCCTGCTAACTAGGAATAGTGGACAAGTCAGTGCCTTTTCTAATGGGAAGATGGTCACAGTTGTTTCGTCTGGGGTCCTGTACTCTTTGGGAAGCCAGTTACAGTGTCATTCACCATGATTGGAGATGACAAATCAAGGCTTTGAAGATCACAGTCCCCATTCTTAGATAGAGCTGATGGTTCTACCTGTGCAGTATTAGTTGGGAGGATAGCTCAACATCTGGTAAGCTGTGGGTTTAAACTGTAAGTTACAGGGGTTTCTGTGAAATTAATGCACGAAGGTTGGGTTTTAACAGTAAGTTCTTGAGAGATTTGATTGAGGAGAGGTTATGTTGGGATGGGGTGGAGCAGAAATGACTGGTGGGTAAGAGGACCTAGCCAGATATTAAGTTAAGTACACTTAGGATGTTTATCCACAAATATAGTGATATTTCATTTGTATTTTAATAAATAAAGCTTGCCTGAAGTTCAGAGAGTAAAACAGCCATCCACTGGCTCTTACCTCTTCCTCAGTCCAAAATGGCGCACCTGCCTCCAGGAACCCTCAGAATGAGACTGTATCTGAGAGCTGTCTCCTCCTGTCTTATAGTCCTCTCTAGGGCTGATATTAAAGGTGTGCACCATTACTGCCAGGTTTCTATGGCAAACTAGTGTGACTACTGGGATTAAAGGTGTCTGTTACCACTGTAAGACTGATCGGTGTGGCTGTTGTACATTCTAAACTTCGGGCAAGCTTTATTTATTAAAATATAAAAGAAATATCACTACACACAACTGACGCTTTTTTTTTTCTGGCTGTGCTCTCGGTGTTGCTTCTGCCCATAGACTGCTGAGCTGAGCTGAGCTGAGATGTGGTCTCTATCTTTTTGGATTTGTTTACTATTTTTTTACTCAGTCATTAAGATCTTCAATGGTGCTTTTGATAAGTTATTGCAAAATACATTTTTCACAAAGGGGCCTTTATGGTTGGTATGACCCACTGGAACACAAATGAGAGGTTACGCAGAGGTCCTGCTTAGCTCGGGGCTCCTCTTCTCCCATGGCAACATGTGATAGGAGGCACAGAGTGTGTCTTAAAAGCTATGTCCTACCACGAGGACGAGATGTAGTGTTTCCTCCTGGGGGAAAAGCTATGTCCTTGTATCCTCCCCCCACTAATGTGTTGAGAGAGAACCTAGGGCTTTTCCCATTAAGGTAAATTCTTCTCTACTGAGCTGAACCCTACATCCTTGTATCTTTACTGTCATGGGAAAAGAGAATCTTATTGGAGATACACAGCAGATAGATACTGTATTAGAAATGGCTTCAGTTCCCTCCATATCCAGTTTTCTGAAAACATCTTGAAAGGGCATTTTGTTTACACTGTGGAGGTCAGTGTAATGAAACTACCCTTTCCTTTGATTCTTGCCTCCGTACACTCTGGGAGGATTGACTTGACAAACCATTTCTTGGTGTCTTAATAAAAACCCTTCCACACACCCACTGGCTGCCTTTTCTAGTATGTGGTTTCGCCTCAGTTGATCTTGGTACACAGTCTCAATCTAAACATCGTCGGTATAATCTGGAAATGCAAAGTAGATGAATGTTGATTGACAGTACCGTCTCTGTGAGGTGTTTGAACGTCTCAAACTTTGGACTTGTTCCTGACATAGCAGAATTTGCGGGTGAGAGTTAATTCCCATTCTTCTTTGTACCCCTCAGCATCCCATGGCAAGTGGTCCCTTCTTTATATTGAGAGCTCTCTTTGGGAGATAGGACATCCTTCCGATACCAGAGTATGCCTAACGGGAGATGTTGGGATCAGTGGAGATCTATCTGTCTAGGAACCGGTCCATAGGGTTGTGTTTTGTTTTTACCATGCTGGGAATGGAATTCAGACCCCACATAGAGCAGGATTTGATGACACATATCTAATCCCAACACATTTGTGGTGAGATGGAGGTGTCCTCTGACCTCTGAGTTTGTGCCCTCTATCACAGACACAACACACATGTGTGTGTATGTATACACACAAGTAAATGGAGTAGTTTCTCGGGTGATCCCTGTAGACACCCGTGTCACGTGCTTACAGGGAGTGCTTCGTTTCTTTCCCTGCCCTATTGCACTGACTAGAACTTCGTAATTATGTTGGATGGAAGTCATAAAAGCAGTCTCAAGGGACGGCTGCTTTCTGTCTAAAGAGTAAAGTCATTAACCATATAACTATGTTAGCTATAGGTATTTTGAAGATACTATAAAAAGTAATAAAAATTAGGTCAGGTGGTGGTGGCACACACCTTTAATCCCAACATTAGGGAGGCAAAGGCAGGCAGATCTCTGTGAGTTCGAGGCCAGCCTGGTCTACAGAGCAAGTTCTAAGACAGGCTCCAAAGCTACAGAGGAACCCTGTCTCAAAAAACAAACAAACAAAAAAGTATTACAAATTTGGAAATTTTACCCAGACTCCTAAGTCCCTGAGAATTTTCAGAGTTAGGTTTTAATGATAACAGGATTCTGTTATCCTGTTAGTGTGGTGCACTTCAGTGTTTGATTGCATTGTTAATACTCTGTATGCCTGGGATAAATCCTACTTGGGCAGAACATATTATTTGTATACACTCCTGGATTGAATTGAGTATTTTATTGAGTGATTTTTACACCTTGAGAGCTGTCTGTTATGGCTGACTGGCGATATTAAGGCCTTAATGAGTTGAGAAATGGTCCCCCTCTTGTATTTCCAGAAGAAACTATGAAAAAGCAGTATTAATGCTTTTGGGTTTTTTTTGTTTTGTTATGTTAAAGCCAATATTGACTTCTTTTGTAAGAATGTGGTCTTAGATTTCTGGTATTGGGGGAGGGATATGTTTTAGATTCTAGACTTAATTCTGTGTGTTTGTCTGCTTTTGGGGGGCTATTCTGGTTGTCAGCTTCTTGATTATATTCTGGTAGTTTGTGAATTTTGAGAAAGGGAAATATTTTTATATCCGTTGAATTTATGGTCGGAAAAAACATTTGTAGCATCCTTATTGTTTTAGATGAATACAGGTTCTGTTGTGATAACTACTCTGGCAGCCCCCAACCACTGATGCATTTGAATACTTGGTCCCCCATTGGTGGAACTGTTTGGGATGGATTAGGAGGTGTGGCCTTGTTGGAGGAAGTGTGGCACTGGGGGCAGGCTTTAAGGTTTCAAGTGGCTATAGTCAGAGATAATGTGCCCTTTGAGAAGAGAGATGTGAGTCCTTGGCTGCAATTCCTGCTACCACCCCATCTCTTTGCCATCGAAAGCTTTGGCCCTCTGGAACCTTAAACCCAATTACACCTTGTTTTATAAGCTGCCTTGCTTCGCCTTGGTGTTTTAGCTCAGCAATAGTATAGTAACTAAGACAGCTTCTTTCTTGATGTTGATAATTTGTGTCAAAACACCTGCCAGTCTTCTTAGAAGTTTGTTTTCTTGCTTCTTGTAATATGCGATTTGTTTCATTGATTTTTCTTTTTTCCTGTATCCACCCTTTGTTTTCTTCTCTTTGCTTTTTGTTAGTGGTTAGGAGCATAGAGTCTTGAG